TTCACTGGACTCCAGGTGCAGCCTCACCAGTGCTCAGCAGATGGGAAGGATCCCCTCCCTCAAGCTGCTGCCCAGGACACCATCAGCCATCTTCGCCACAAGGGCACCTTGCCAGATCATGGTCAAGTTGGGGTCCACCAAGATCCCCAGGCCCTTTTTGCAGAGTGGCTGGGAATGATCAAACTGTGAACAGAGCAACAGGACCTCTTTCTCCTCCTCTCTCTCGCTAACCTCTCAGAGAAGCCTGGAACAACATGAAAAAAACCTTGATAATCAACTTGAATGGCTAATTGTGCATTTTCTGCCACAAGGTACATGTGATACTTCCTATAACGTTCTTTAGGCAGAAGTTACCAGCTCAAAGATTAGTCTGAGACCTAAAACCAATGCAGGCACTACTTAGTGGTTCATATTTCATGGAGAAATCGGTGGGAATTAGACTTTGAAGTAATTTTGGAAACATTTCCAAACAAACATAAGTGGCGCAGGCTCACAGTCAGTGAGAGATAACTCACCTAGAAGTTAAACTAATACATTGGTAAATCACTACTCAAGGCATGACAGAAGAACATTCACACAAAAAGCTTAACAAGACTGATCCTTTCACAAATATAACTTCTTTTTTTAAAGAGAGAGACATTGCTAGATGTTTTTTTTTTAAAAAAGTTACTTTCCATATTTCTCAAAAAAGCATTCTGCCAAGCAAGCTGTACTGTAGTATTATTTCTCATCAGTCAGGCAAAAAGTAACAGAAGTGGCACCATTGCCTAATAAACGCTGCATAAAATGCCTGTTCCTGTTCCCTCTCCAGTCATTGGAAGTTTTGCAGGTTTAAACTACCACCAAAATGGGCTATCAAATGAAACAGAAGCAGATTTGAAATGTACCGTTGTGCAATAAGAGAGGTTTACTGAAAAACGTTCAGAGTGGCCATGACATTAAGAAAGATGAATCTTACATAATATCCAGTTTCAAGAAACATGAAAGAAAATTGCATCTCTGTTAGAAGCCAAATACAAGTGATTTGGGATAGAGCTTCTCTCTTTTGGTTCCATCAGAAAACTGGCTGCTATACTGTGCTCTCCAGTTTTACTTTTAGGGAAAAACTAAAGGAAGGATAAAGTTTAATTACTGCACTGAAACTGCAAGTAAACACATTCAGAGTCTTTCCAAAAATATGGTACAAAAAATAATCTATATTCAAACGTGAAATAGGAGAGGAAAAGATGGAACATTCTTCTATAAATAAACAGCTCTTACAGCAATTCCTTTTGAAACTGATGGTTTGTTTCCCTGTTTACCACCCTCCCAAGTATTTTGGTCTTTGCACGACTCTTTGTTCTCCTCAAGTTAAACTACAAAAGCCAGAATCCAGATCATTTTAACAGGGCTCAGATGTTTCTTAGCATCTGTGCAAAAAATATTAAGAATAACAGATTAAAGAAGTACATGACACAAGCACTGTCAAAGCTTGGATGCCTGGCTTAAATTCTGGAGGAAAAAAAAGGTGATAAAAATTCTAGAGAAACTGGACTTAGAAAACCTTAAGAAACTAGAACAGTTTTGAAACATGAAAGTTCACTTAATCTGTCTGGAACAGGAAAGGCTGCTGGGTTGAGTGATTTCCCAACTTGTAACTCCTCCTCTTTCAAGTACCCTCAAAAGAAGGTACCATGAAATATAAAACATGGCACAAATGTTACAACAAATGCACTTCTGGAAAATATTACACAAATGGAGCTGAACGGGTACTCTGGAATTTCTACACATGCTTATTGCACAGATGATCCTACCTCCTAAGGTCAGGACTGTAAATTCAGGGCAGCACAGTATGTGAATAATGAAAAAAGAGCTGTAAACCAGGAACCACCTGATGTCCACAACTGACCAGTATTTCCCCGTATTCCTTCTGACAGCCAAGAAGAAAAAAATGCAATGATCAGCTTTTTACTCAAAGCTCCTGTTAACAACTGAAAAAAGAGGCAAGGGAGTTTCCCCTTGCATGCAAACATGAATTTTCAGTCTTACAGCTACTCAAGTCTAAACCATATATTAATAGAAACAGAAAATAAAATTTTTCAGCTGGCTGTTTCAAAGGCAGCTGCAAAAATACTTAACACTCTGCTGTCAGAATTAAGTCTGATACCCTAAGCTTGTCTTCAACTTTAAACAAACAGGTCATATTTCTCTGTTTGCTTAGTGCTCCAGCATACGTGGCAAGTAAATATCCTTTTGGCTTCAAAGTTTCCAGGATACCTGAAATAATTCTTCTTTTTCCTTACAAATGTTCTTGTTTCAGATGGGGCAAGACACCTTCCAGTGTGTAATTATACACATATCCCATATATAAGTGTTAAACCATAATGCAGAAACTGGGACATGTGGCAAGCTACTGTCAAGAGACAGCCTTATGTCCTGCAGGAACTGGTGCAACTGAGCAGAGGGAGGTTTCTGCAACACCACAAAGAATGTAAAAGAGGCAGTAAAGTCACTAAGAACATCTTTGGTATTTATCATACAGTTTCTCTCAAAAATGTATTATTTATAATATATTTGAGAGCAATCATTACTTGAGGAAAGCCAGTCCACTCTGATTCCTTACTCTTAACCATATCTGAACTAAGCCAAGGCATTTCAAGGTTGATTAGGGTGCAGAATGGCTCACAGGCCAGAGCAGGCAGACACCTGCACACAAAGCCACATGTCACACTGACAGGACACACAGCAACCTGTCATATGACAGTCACAGAACACAAGAGGCTGTAACGTGTACACAGGACACCAGATCCCCTTTTGATTCTACTTTGTTCTACAAACACTATTTGCTTGTAACAGAGCTATCAGGCTGCATATAACACACCCTAGTTAGCACAGGAGAAATATTGTACATAATGTTTAGCCACAAAATAAATAAGATTAACTTGTATTCTCCAGAACCTGATGACTACAGACAGCTCTTCCTGAGCTTCCTTTCTCTTACTAGTTTTAAAAATCTGCAATTTCAAATTAGACAGTTTACCAAAGATGAAAACTGTTCATAGCTTGACGTGAGATAAACTGGATCAGGCACAGATTAGCAGAGTTACTGCTAGCAATTCCTAGCTGCCATCTGAAAGTCATCATAACCCTCCTAAACACTCCTCTCCCTGAAAGTAACATTTGTTCATTTCTGTGTAAAGGCCAGACAGGTGCTCGTATTTATTTTAGCTTTGGTTTGGCCCTGCCTCCCTGCTGCTTCTCAAAAATGTCATGTACTGTAAGGCTGCTTCCTCTCCCAGGTCAGCAATAACAACTCCAAAAAAACTGAAACAAACAGGTGTTTTACTTACCATGTAATTGCTATATGCATGATCAAACATCTCCAGCACTTGGTTTCTAAAAAAGAAAACAAGAAAAAGCATTAGTGGTTGCTTCAGAATGGCCTTTAATATATCACCTTTGAACAGGAAGATGAACAACACTTTAATATCTGAATATCAGCCACAGGTCTTCTACCAATGTACTCTACTCAAGTAAGTGAAATATGGCATAATAGTGTTTCCTAATTCAGCTACTTTTGTTCACTGCAGAACGACTATTTCTCCATCTAATGTGAAAGTAAGTACTTGGGGCTCAGTGTCAGCCTCCTGTGCTTCCCCTTAAGAAGCTGTCCATGTCACCAACACACGGAAGCTGGAGATGGGACGTGCTCCATGCTCTGCAAAAAGGAGCAATTAGAATTATGTTCTGCTTGTCATCACCAATACTAAAACCAACTGACACAGGGATTCCTGCCTGTGATTCAGACAAGGTCACAGGTTAGGAGGAACACCTCTTCCTTGCATCAGAAGTCTTGGCAAGCACAGACTAAGGAAAACCCTTGTAGATACATGTATTTTATATGTTTGGAAAGCAGTCAAGGTGAGAAATGCTACTATACCAAAAAGCACAGGGCTTTTTGAGAGACAGCATGACTTTAGCTGTTCCTGTTTTACTGAGCAGCCCTGCAAGGCAAAAGAGCAGGCTAATCTCTAAGCTCCATCAACATAATTCACAAATCCCTGCTGATAAGACTGAACATAAAAGAGCCAAGAACATCACAATTACATTCTAAACATCTGATTTAGTTCAATGACTCGGAATTTTAAGTAGTTTTAACTCATCAAATGCATTAAGGCAACAAAACAGCAGAGTGTGATGCTTTTCTGAGGTCCTTCTCAGCCTGCAGACTCTGGGAGTTGCTACAGCAGACAGAAACCCCAGCTCTGCCACGTCCAGATGAACTAAGCATCCCATGCTGCTCAGCCACGTAGCATATAGAAAGCTCTTTCTAACTTCTGTTTCTTTACATGCAACTTCCACTTACAGGATATTTTCTGAAAGAATTTCTGTGACTGTGACAATCTTCTTAAATCCACAGGCTACCTGCCCTCATTCAGACATGACCCGGGTTGGTGCCTCGAGCCACAAACCATGGCAAGGCATTTCTTGCACTGCCTGGGGCAGCAGATGATCAGATTATCAGGCAGTGCAAGTTAGGGGTGCAAACATTCTAAAACTGTCAGTGAAAGAAGGTTAAACTCCTTATGTAGTCCGTGAAGAAAACACGTAACTCATTATAAACACAAAGTATCCTAAGAATCAAAGATGAAAAAACGTAGTTACTATAAATATCAGAGTTAAATATGAACTTATATCTACTGATTAGTAACTATGAAAGTCTCCACAGTGTTTCATGAGTTTCTGCATCATTATTCCATGCAACTGACCAGCAGATAGGAAGAGGATGATGATCAAACTGCTCCAGCAACACACTAAGATCATAATATGCTCCTTTATATGTTGGCCAAAAAGAAATATCTTTCCCCACGCAGTGCCAGCTCTATTGTAATCTTTAACCTTCACCTCAAATCCATATTAAAAGAGAATCAGCTCCTTACACGTACACGCCTGGGGGACCAGGATTACCT